CGCGGGGGGCGGGGGTACCACGGGTGTTGTGGCCGCCGTGGTGGGCCCAGAGCCCTTGGTTGACCCCTGACCCTCGGCCGGCTTGGTGCCCTCGTGGCCGTCTGCTGTCCCCTGTCCTGGTGTCCCCTGCCCACCCGACGTCCCCCGTCCCTCAACCATCTTCCAGCTCTTGACCATCCCCTTGACCGTCCCCTGGCCCTCAACTGGCCCCAGGTCCTTGGTTGGCCCCTGGCCCTCAACCGTCCCCGGGCTGGTGGCCACCCCATGGCCCTTGACCGTCCTATGGCTCTCGGCCATCTGCTGTCCCTCAGCCGTCCCCTGGCCCTCAACTGTCCCCAGGTCCTTGGTTGTCCCCTGGCCCTCAGCTGTCCCTGGGCTGGTGGCCAACCCGTGGCCCTTGACCGTCCTGTGGGTCTCGACTGTCCTACAGCCTTCGGCTGGCCCCCGGCCTTCAACTGTCCCCACCATGCCCTTGACTGTCCCCCACATCTCAGCTGTCCCCAAGTCCTTGGTTGTCCCCTGGCCCTCAGCTGTCCCTGGGCTGGTGGCCAACCCGTGGCCCTTGACCGTCCTACAGCCCTCGCCTGTCCCTTGGCCCTCAACCGTCCCCGAGCCCTTGGCTGTCCCCCGTCCCTCAACTCTCCCCAGGTCCTTGGTTGTCCCCAGACCTTCAGCTGTCCCCGGGCTGGTGGCCAACCCATGGCCCTTGACTGTCCTACAGCCCTCGCCCATCCCCTGCCCCTCGCCCGTCCCCACGCCCTTGGCTAAGCCCCATCCCTTGACCGTCCCCAGGCCCTTGACCGTCCCCCGCGTCTCAGCCATCCCCAGATCCTTGGTTGTCCCCTGGCCCTCCACCGCCCCTGGGCTGATGGTCAACCTGTGGCCCTCAGCCACCCCCTGTCCCTCCACTGTCCCCACACCCTTGATGGACCCCCGTGTCTTGACCATCCCCAGGTCCTTGGTTGTCCCCAGACCCTCAGCTGTCCCCAGGCTGGTGGCCAACCCATGGCCCTTGGCCATCCTATGGCTCTCAGCCATCTGCTGTCCCTCAGCTGTCCCCTGGCCCTCCACTGTCCCCATGCCCTTGCTTGACCCCAAACCATCAACCATCCCCGGGCTGGTGGCCAACCCATGGCCCTTGACCGTCCTATGGCTCTCAGCCACCTGCTGTCCCTCAACTGTCCCCTGTCCCTCATCCGTCCCCGTGCCCTTGACCGCCCCCCGCATCTCCGCTGTCCCCAGGCCCTTGGTTGTCCCCAGACCCTCAACTGTCCCCGGGCTGGTGGCCAACCCATGGCCCTTGACCACCCCATGGGTCTCAGCCCCCTCCGCCGCCCCC